AAATATAATCGATTAATCGAATTTTTAAAGTAAATTTTTTACAGTGAGTATTCACAAAAGCACTTCCATAAAAAACTTCTAATTACAAGGTAATTAGCCTTAAATAGAATAAAACTAGTATTTTTAGCAGCGATAATTATTTATTATTTAACCAAGTTTGCAAAAACAAAAGCTTTGATAAGCGTTTTTTTTGTTAAGCTGTCGCATTTCTCGGTGGCTGTAGAACCAGCTTTTGACAAAAGGCGGCTCCGCAGCAGGTACCGAGATAACAACTAAATGACAGTATTTTTTCGAAAGTCCGTAGAGTTTGGGGTAAACAGTTTTCATTTCCTCCTAAGCGTCGATGATATTCCACTTTAGTTCTAGGACTTGACAATTTAAAGAAAAACACATTTCATCTTGTGGGTGGCTCAAATTATCACCTTTTCGCCTTCATTTTCTACTGATTCTAGTGACGACTCGCTTCTTGTTTTCATTACACATTATTAAGTTCGCAAGAACTTGAACGGATCTTTGAAATTAATTTTTTTGAACCTCGGGACGAGTAAAGTTGTTGCAGCTAGCAAAAAAGGATGTTCGATGGGTGGGTTTTAGAAAACTACAGAATTCATATTGCTTGAAAATATTTTTATGATTATTTTACAATGAATCGATTAGTAATGGATTAATTAAACACAAAACTATGATACAGTTAAATCGTAAATTTAACAAAAATAATCGATTAATTTCTAAATGGAAAGAAATCATGATATTTAGAACTGCCTCAAAAAGCCTATAGAGTAGTCCATGTATTTTATATGCGGAAAAAACACTTTTTCATAGAAATGGTATACAATTCTTGAAAATTAATATTTTTGATCGGAAAAGTCTCTTCAGGAGACTTTCAATAATAATACTCAATTTTTATTTTACCATTTTTTAATACATACTAACGATTTTTTTTTGGGTCCCCATTGCATTTTTTGGGCAACTTTTAAAAAAATAGTATTAAAAAGTGGTTTAATAAACAATTGGGTATTTTTATTGGGAGTCTCCTAAGAAAAACAGATCGATCGAAAAATATTGATTTTCAAGAGTTCTACACCATTTCTACGAACTAAAGTAAATGGAAAACTTCATGGGCTTTTAGCCATTTCTATATATATTAAAAAAAAGGTTATTCTTTTTTTCTATTTTGAAAAATCATGGCGGGTGAGAGCGTAACATTTTAAACTTTTTCCCGCATGTATTTTTGGACATTCTAGATATGTATAGTGGCGAAAATATAAATAGGGAGACGACTCTTTAACATTTTGTGGGTATTTTTCTTGCATTTATTTGATGTTTATTATATTTTTATAAAAGGATACCTCGTTATCTAACAAAAACCAGGCAAATCCGAATTTCAAAGTTTGTACAAAAATTAGGAAAATTTGACAAAGTTTCATAAAAACTTCCAGCTTTTTAATTAGAAACATTTGATTAGAAACATTTTGATTATGTAGCCCGTACAATTTTAGTATAACAAAGCGCAAGTTTGAAATAGCAATTCTGTTGATAATTTTCTACATATAAAAACATTTTCGAAAATACTTTGTATGGAAAAAATGCTTAACACCGTCTACAAAAAAAAAAAAAACAAAAAAAAAAACGACGGCAGTTGTGTAGCCACTTCCTTATTTTTAAAATTCGGACTTACATGATTTTTGTTAGATAGCGAGCTATACTTTCATAAATAAATAATAAACATGAAGTAAACAAAAGAAAAGAAGCCAAAACTTGTTGAAAAATCGCATCCTGATGTATATTTTCGCCACTGTAAGTGCGAACTTTCACACATCCCGCGATTTCCTAATAAGCAGAAGTCCACTGAATGACACGTGTTTCTGACAGGGACATAACAGTTATTATAAGTTTTATCGAAAAAAGTTGTTCCATAACAGTTACAAGGTGAGAAATATTTTTTACTTCGCCGATAAGAGTTATAACCCAACGTTTACTTTTTACGTTGCCTGATAACTGCTATGCAGGAGAAATATGTTTTCCGTCGCCAATAAGAGTTATTTCCCAACGTTTATTTTTTACCTTGCTTGATAACAGTTATTTCCTAACGTTTATTTTTTGCATTGCTTGATAACAGTTATTACCCACCGTTTATATTTCACTCCTCTTGCCTCCTCCCTGCCTGTCGCGGGGTCGGTCACGCTGTTGCTGCTAAACGCGGTTGCGATGGTAAATTGTTTCAAGCTTTGGGCAGCTTTACCGTTTCTGCTTTACAGCATTATCTCGGTTGTTCCTGACCGCTCAGCTCATACCACGGTTATACTCGGAAACTATACCAAGATTCATTTGGGCGTTCCAGAAGATCAATGGTTTCGCGTAATTTCGAGCATCTTTGTGACGCATGGCTGCTCCGGCTTTGTCACTTAGCCAGAGGACCCCGAGCATGACTTCTCACAATCAGAGAGCGCTTGGTATCTGAAAACCACACTAGCTTAGTGCCATTTATTCGATAAGGAAAAGACTAATGGCTCTGGGAATTACGGGGTTTTGTCAATTTTCCTCCTCAGATCCATCATATTAAGCAGGGTCACCACTCGCACTATGTGGCTCTGCGCCACGAACGGTCGGCCTTTAGCCGTTTGCTTCTGTCTCAGATCATTACACCGAATGTGGAACAATGCCAAGAACCTTAGCCACCTAATTTTATCTTATAGGCTTTATGAATTTAATTAATATATTAAGTAAAAATTGTTCAATGTATTTTACTACTTAGAAGTATTAAACGTTTTTTTTTCACTTAATAAAACATAGTAAAGTTAAGGCAATGTTATCTCGCATACTTACATATAATTCTGACGATTTAATTTAATAAATTTTATTTTTTTACCCCTATACCAAAGTGTAAGTTGTTATGCCGATTATGGCGTGGCTTGTTGTTATAACCATTTCTATGTATTTTCTAATTTGTCATCACTTATAAGGCAATTGCGTGTTAATTTTTTGACTAAGAGAAATGTATACTCCTTTTTTGTAGAGCGCATTCAAATTAGGAGTCGGTGCATTTTTTATGTAAATAAACCCACACAATTTTTTTAATTATGAGTACATAACTTGCAATTTTTAAACCGCAATAAATACTTAAAAATGCAAATGGGATTTCAGTCGATATACTCGTTTTCGTTCTAATAATAGATGAACCTTACCTCGAAGGACCAGAATCAATCGTAAGATATCGAAGATATTTAGCTTAGCTCATAAGTACATTGGGGTGGTCCAAAAATACACAGGAAAATCATCTTTTTGGAGTTTACCCGCTGCCGCTCCCAGAACTGAAGAGCGCACTTGTGCACAAGGGTATTATAACTTTGTTCACATAACGGTTGTTTGTAACAGGCAAAACGAATCGAGATAGATATAGACAAATGTATACATAAATGATCAGGATGAAAAGAGAAATCGATTAAGCGGTGACTGTCTGTCCGTGGGTCTGTGCACACGATAACTCGAGTAAAAATTAAGATATTTTAACGAAACTTGGTACGTGTACTTCTTTCGCGCGTAGGACGAATGGTATTGAAAATGGGCAAAATCGGACAATAACCACGCCTACCTCCCATATAACGGTAATTTTCAGAAATACGAAAACTGCGATATTTTAGTAAAATAAAATATTAAAGCTAATTTATTCAAAATTTACGCTTGCGACAATTCTTTACCAAGATATACGTTTATGATGAAATTTTGGAAAATGGGCGTGGCACCGCCCACTTATGATCACACATATGTATCTCGGTAACCGTTCTACCAATTTGTACCAAACTCGGTATGGTTATTATGCTTGCCACATAAAAGCAAAACATTCAAAATTATTGATATCGGACTAAAATTACGGTTTTTCATATAACGATAAATTTTAGAAATGCTTGAAACTTCAATATTTCGAAATTTAAGGACTCTAATTTACTCAAAATTGAGAGCCCCAGCTTACCATGTAGCGAGAGCTTTCGGAAAGGTGAAAAACATATATGTATTTAATACTTGCGCCGGGTATTTAATGTTCGGTTCCACCCGAACTTAGACTTTCTTACTCGTTTATTTTGAAATCGCTCAAAATTTAAACATGCCGCGGTGCACAATGGGCCATGAGCGAAAGAATTATATTTTTGTGATGGCTAGATTTACTAGTTATTTATACATATTTATTACTTATACTACATTCTTTGCGTGATCCGGATTTACACGATTTGGGAGCACATAAAATTACAAGTTTGACAACTAAGCCAATAAAGGCACGGGAGTGAATATATATTTAAAAGACAATTAAAAAATAAACATTTGTTTAAAGCAATGCCCGCCTGGGAAACGAACTACATATGTTCGGCTTTTCACATGTACACAAACAGCTTCTTACACGTATACAATCCGAACGTTAGCAGAAAGAGTAGAGAAGCGACAAATTTTATTTCGTTGCATGCAAACATTAGCCGAAAAAGGTTCATGTCGAATTATTGTTGAATAAAGTAGGTACACTGAGTAAATTATGTAATAATGTTAGTTATAT